ACCATTATGATCATTAGCGTCACTATTAACTAAATTCCATTCACGTTGCATCATTTCACTCAAATTATCTACCATGTTTGTTTTTTATGATGACACAACCTATAGACACACGTTCGTCCAAAATAAAAAAAAAAGAAATTGTAGTGACACTTTTTTCCGTCTATTCATTTTATCTATGTAATTTGTGTATATATTACGTCACGGTTCATTGCTTTTATAGTCATTGCTATTAAATCATGTAAATGTTAACGATGTTGTATTCAAACACGACAAGAGAACAGAAGAACAGACGAGTAATATTAAAAACAAGATATTATCATCAACCAGAGAATATCATGAAAGCATGGAGAAAAAAATAAATTTTAATATTTATTAACATTATAAATTACACATGCAAATAACATTTTATCCAATTACACTGTCCTTTTCTAAGAAATAAATTACATATAGATGTTGCTCTCTGACCTTATTATCACTCATAATAAGATTGAAAAAGAAATGTTGGTTTTTACCTCTTCTTTCCTTATCGAAAAATATGCGACAATATGACGCAAAACGTATTTGATATTATTATACTATAAGGTAGTTTATAATTAATATAAAAGATCTGATTATATCTAAAATTCGTCAATGAACTTCCTATTGATTTTTTTAGGTGATAAAAAAAATCATACAATACTCATATACATGATTTATGAATATATTTGCCAAATAATCAAGAAAACAATTTAATTTTTATGATGACATCCATTTAAATGATAGTTGTCGATACTTTATTGATTTTTCAAAAAACTAGAAAAATAAAACTCATTCAACAGATCATTACGACATTATACTAAAAACCTTCGGTACCTATTTGCAAGAGAAACCTGTCAATCCATCCTATTTCTATTTACATTCTTATCTTTATTAAGAATGATGGCATATGTTGAGTATTACTCCTCCTGTATGTCTTTAGCATCTGATAGACGAAAAATTTTCTAGAAAGAAAAAGAATCAAATGACAAAAGTATGTTCTGATTTATAGCGCATGCAAATTATTATATCTGGCTAGTATCATAATGGTACATAAGAAATTACGTTTATTCAGTTTTTTTGTTTATTTTGAAACAAGTATTGAAAAATCAAAATCAGAAATAGCATCTATTGGCATTGTAATACTTATTCTTCTTACCATGATTATACTTCTCTATGAACATTTGAAGGGAAAGCTTTGTTGTGGTTATAGTCCGTCAAAATTTAAGACAAAAAAAAAGTAAGGTTAAATAGTCTAAAAGAAATTTTAATAATAATATTTCTTTAATTTTTTAGAATATGTACTGATGATGAGTGTCATCAGATAGTATAATATGAATTGTTTAATATGAAGAAACAAAATATTAGTTTGGAATTTTATTTATATTTATAAAAAAACAACATTTGATTAATGCATTTATGCGATGTAAACTTGTATTCTTTTTATATTGTTTGATAATATGTAGTACTTATATGCAATGTTTATGTTTATTTGTAATAATTGTTATTTTTTTTCCATAGTTGCTTCTGTAAATTAGAAGAACAAGTATTAATAAATATATCTAACAGTTGACATAGTTCGTTTATATTAACGTTAACAAGTTCGTATCAAGCAAACTATATTGATATTTAATATCATTGTTTTGGCTAATATTTTATTAAATCATTTAGCGAATCAAGTCATGCTTTTACTCAAATTAATTATTGTATAAATATGAATGAAATATTTTTACATAAACACTGATTTTTAGCAGACGCTTTTTAATCGCTTATCGCAAATACTAGCAAACATATCACACACACACATTCAAAGATCTTCCAGACTAAACATATCTATCTCAATTTAATGTATGCTCAAATTATTACTTATGATGATATATCAGTTATTATAATCTGATAATATCATCAGTCATAAATAAAACTAATTTGCACAGTCATAAAATAGTAACCTTCGCATTTATATGTCTTTCTTAGTATTTTATGCATTTTTATTTGTACGCATGGTTACTGTCAATTTATCAGGGCGTAGTATGATAAAGATTCATTAAATTTGAATTAGTAATCAACAAAATATGTAATTAATAAAAATAAAGTAGCTATTTTTAATTTATAGTGATCAACAGTATATTATGGTATCATATCAGATATGCCAGCATAAATGGATCAAATCATCATACAGAGCGTCATCTGTCGAAAGGTCGTTTATTTAAGTTTTAACTAAATTGGAATCTTTTTTGAATACTAAATATTTAATCTCTAAATCGAGAGTAAATAACGGAGTCAACATAATTTATTTGTATATATATAACTCCAATGATTCTTAAGCTCTTTGTTTAATCCACCAGTAACAATACAAATATGACTATCGATCTCAATTGAATGAATGTATCGATTATTATTTTCATTTCATATCTAAATACATTCCATCGTATTTATTTTCACTTATGTCACCACCTTCATTTCGTCAACCTGGTGATATTGTAAATGAAATTTATTCTGAAAATATTCAAACTATCATAAAATTATGTTTTGATGTTGGAGATGATCCAAATTCACTTATTGAACAAACTAGACGTGAACTTCAGGTAATAAACTAAACTTGAATATTTTTATGAATCATATTCAATAAATTTCTTTTTCAAGAAAATGGTAACAGAAATGATTGCAGAAGATGATGCTTTATTCGAACGTAAACGAACTGAACTTGTACCCATTCGTACACGTTATGAATCACTTTATCATGAATTACATCCAGATAAAACATGTCCACAATATGGTAATACATTACCTGTTCTTCAAGCATTACGTATTTATGTTGATGAATATAAACAATTAAAAGAAGAACATGAAAAATTACTTCAACGTGAACCAGATATACGTCGTGAAGAAAGACAATTATGTAATGAACTCAATGAACGTTCATTACAGATTGATAATTCAAATTTTAATTCTAAACAATTAGTTACACAAATAAGTCTTTTATCTGAACATATTAAAGAATTACGTGAAGAAAAAGTAAAAAAACTTGAAAAAAATTTCTGAAATAAAAATAATTGATTTTAGTCAAAACGTATTAATCATTTATCTGAAGTAATTCAAATATTACATGAATATGAAGAAGTTTATGGATGGAAAAGACCAACAATTGAAACTATGGTTGGACGATTATTAGTACTTGATCTAACTCAAATTGATCAATATACATTATCAAAAGAAGCTTTAGAATTAGTCGATAAAGAATTTTCTGAAGTAAAAAAAATACCTTTTTATATAATCAATTCCAATAAACCTTATTATTCATAATAGATAACTGAACAAGTACAAAAAGCTGAAAATCGTTTTGAAGAATCACATAAACAATTGAAAACATTAATGAGAAAACATCAATCATTAATTCCCAATGAAAAAGCTTTAGCAGTTTCAAATAGTAAACAATGCCGAATGTCAAAATTACCTGATGTAAGTTCTAATTATATATAAAATTCTTGGAAAGAAAAAAATAACGAGTTGAAACGAAACAATATCAGAAAAGTAACTTTGGGTGAACGTCGCTCATTCGCTAGATAAAATTCTGTTCATATTTGAAATATTTCTGATCAATTTAAACTAAGAAAATCATTTATTTAGCTTATTGCTGAAGTTGATCGATATACAGAACATGCTATGGAAAAATTAACAAGTGATATATTGAAAGCACGTGAACGTATTCATCTTATACTTAATAAATTATCGGTTGGTGATGTTACAAATAATTCCAAATATGCTATTTTATATACAAGTATGTAGAAATATTTATTTCTGATATAATTAAATCTTTTTTTTTGAATATTTAGATGATTTTACAGAAGATGTATATTTCATGCATGAAGAACTTGTACATGAATTAGAAGCTCAGTATGAAATGAATAGATCATTGTATGAACAAATTGAAGCATGGAATGAATTATTTCTTGAATTTCAAGAATTTGAAGTGAGCTTTGTTTTATTTTTATTTTTTAATTCTATTTCCGATTTTTATATTAGAAAAATGCTAGTGATCCACAACGATTTCATCGCCGAGGCTATAGTGCACTTGCAGAAGAAAGAACTCGTAAAAAACTTGAATCTTCATTGCGTGAATGTGAATCACGTCTACAAAAGCTTGCTGATGAATTTATTCAAAAGAACAATGGACAACCATTTATAATGAGTGCTAATGGAAAAGAAATTTCAGATTATATTGAACAACGAAAAGAAGATTATACTAAAGCTAAAGAACGAGAACGTGAAGCAGCAAAGGTAAGATAAAACAAATACTGTATTATTATTGTAAAATTGATACAACGATAGAGTTTTTTAGGCTCAAGATAATCAGTTTATACGTAAATTATGTGAATATTATTATATTTTAGGCTGCTCATACAACAACAGCAACAACAGGTACATTCGTTGGACGAACACCATTGAAAACAAAACAATTAGTTGGTACAACACCAAGTGCCACATCAAAACGCGTAGGAAAAAAAATAGTTCATTTTTCTTCAAGCAAAATCAAATTTATTTAGTCTGATCAAAGTACAAATATACGTACACCATTGACAACAGCTCGTCGTGCTGGTATTCCACATTTACCTACAGGTAAAACACCGTTGAATACTTCAAAATTAAAAACACGAGCACAACAAAAACAATTACAAACAACAAAACGTATTAATATGGATGCAACACCATCAACAATATCAACACCTGTTAAACAACGTCGTCTTATTGATCAAATTATTAATACAACTGAGAATACTTCAACACATAGTTTAACAATTGAAAATACAACTACAGGTTTAAAATCTTCAATGATGGTATAATCATTTTTTCAATAATTGATGATTATTCTACTATTTATTTCTTTATTTAGACAACACCATCAGGTAAACGACCATTAATTAAACGAGCCATTCCTACTCCAATTCGTACTCATAAATAAACAATATTATTAATGTGTAAATAATATAAATCTCGTTGTTTGTTTGCTTTCTTTCTTTTTTCTTTTATATGTACAGTTGACAAAAATAGAAATGAAGAAAAAATAATAAATATATTGATCATTATTTGTAATTACGAAAATAAACAATATATTTGTTAAGTAATAATACATTCAAATAAATACATATATCAGTAAAATTTTATTTTATTTAAAAAACATTCTACCATACTCACTTGATTGCTCTCTCTCTCTTCAAGGTCACTATATAGATGTTGTATATTAAATTGTTTTATTAACAAAAGATTAGTAAAGTATATTTTCTATACACAAATAAATAAAAGTTTGAAAACGTTTGTTTTCTAGTTACACTAGAAAATATGTAGTTCCTGTTATTGAGCAAACACCAATACTTAATCTTACGGAGACAAAAAAAAGAATGTAATGATTCTTAACATAATATATCATGAAACAGGTTCGTTCGATATTTTCATTGATAAACCTAAATGATAGTAATTTATATAAGAAATGTTATATATCTTTTTACTTCAAAGGATTTATTCCAAAAAAAAATATCATCATTTGCTTCAGCGAAACGTGCTCTATCTAATAAATGAAAAATTTCCATTTGCGTATAATGATAAATTTGAAAGATTTTTCTAATACAATCAATTGAATATAAACTAATCTGAGTTGATATTGACATTGGTGATGCTAATTTTAATAGCTGTGAACAAAGTATTGGATGTGAAAGAGGATCAATAAGAATTGGTTTAAAACCATATTTATTTGCCTTAAAGAAAAAGAGAAATAGTATATGAATATCTTTCAAATATAATTACAAGAGCTTTGATTTTCTCTTCGTCAAATTCATTTAAAATATATGATATAGAAAACCATGGTATCATTATATAAGATTTATATCTTGCAAATATTAATTTCTCTGTTTCATTAATTATAACAAGTTTTGTTAATGGTGAATATTTTATTTGAAAAGATTCATTAGATATAGTAGATTGATGATCATCTTCTTGATTTTTAATAGAAGTTTTTGTTTCAGATGTTGTTCTATGAAGAAACAACGTACATCAGATTGAGATTTTAATATTTCTTACGTGAATATTTAAGAAAAAAAAATGCGTTTACTAAATTGTTTCTTTTCCTGTACAAGTTTTGATCACTTTCTACTTGTCATGAACGACTAATGTTAAAAATGTTTTCTTCGAAAGAGCTGAGTTTTTTAAATGTACTATTTTTTACTAGTAAGTAACAACTTATAAGTTAGTCTCTTTCATTCTACTTTTATTAACGAACAGGGTTGTATAAATATATTTCTACTCGAGTTCGAATTTGAATACAATCTCTACTCTATTCGTAATATAAACATACTCTCCAGCTTTCCAATAAAGTGCTATCATTGAATGCATTGGTTGTCCATTATCATCTAGCATACAAATCTCAATAGAAAATAAAAAAATATAAACTTCATTTCATATTTTATTTCTTACAGTATTTTCTTCATTGATATCATCATCATTTGGTCGAGCCATTTTACAATGTATTAAAAAATCATTAATACAAACATAGGCTTCATCATGTAATGCAAATAAATTCACATAAAATGTATTATCACATCTTTTACATAATGGTTCAACATCACATTGACAATTTTCAATAACATTTTCAAAAGTTTTTGATACTACATCATCCCATTGATAAGTATGATTTAATGGTGCAATTGATGCTAGACGACATGTTAATAAATAAACAGGTCGAGAAGAATATTTTGTTAATATAAAACGTATACGTGAACGTGAAACATTTTCTTCCCAAGAATTAAGATCAACAAAAAATACATTAACTGTATCTTCATTTAAATCATATTCCATTATTTGAGAACGATTCCATGCAGATATTGTTTCATCATATGTAACACAAAGTAAATTTTTACGTAAATATTCTTGAGGTATTTGAAGATCATCAATTGAATTATAATAATCACTAAAAAATAACTAAAACTATATGAAAAACAAACAAACAATTATTGAATTAGAAATAAATACTTCATAGTTTTAAAAAATTCATCACATTCAACTATATTTCGTGTTAATTGAATTGTAAATGCATATGGAGATATAATTGATATAATACAACATTGTTGAACAACATTAAGTTCAAATAAAGAACTCTCATATTTATATCCATTAGAATCAATATCAACCATTAATACTTCATCTTCAGAACTAACTTCCTCAGTAGATGTTTTATTCTAAATAGAAAAGATTTTTTTATAGTTGCAATTGTCTATAATTAATCTATAGATTGTTGATAAACTTGAGCATATTCTATTTTAACTAACAACAGTTTGCTTCTTCGAAATAATTTTTCATAACATTAAATTATTTCAAACTACTAATGGATATGCGAAATCAGTTGCTTCTAGTTTCGATCTCAATCTTTTGGAATAGTTTAGTCATTTCTTTATTTGATATAATTTATACCGTATTTTAAATGTTCTTCAATGAATCCTATAATTCAAATATTCCAGGGATATTTAGTATATATTTATAAATAAAAATGTTTTCAAGAATTTAATAAGTTAAATTTCCTGTTCTATTTTTATAAACTTAATTGTCTAAGAAAATATTTTTAATACATTTAACCTTGACTTACAACTGTTGAATTATTGTTCTTTGATGAAATATTTAAATTATCAATTCCATTTTGACAAAAAAGTATTTGTTCTGTAACATCATGAGTATGATCTGATGAACTATTTGAAAGCATAGAATTATTAATCGCTTCAGTTTGTTCAACTGAATGTCGAATCATTTGACTATCAATATGATTTTTATTTCAAAATAATTTAAGTCAAGATTTTTTTACTATGATCAAATACAAATTTAATTTTAGTTGTTAGTTTCATTAACCAATACGCATTGGCGATAGATTTCTTTTCGACAGGTGTGTTACAAACACGTAACCAATAAATAAACAGGTGAAGCATACTTTCATTTTACAATAGAATTACTCCTAAAACTAATTATATATTTTTATTATTATTCAAAAGAATAAATAAGAGATGATTCAATATTTATTTGAATATACTACATGACATAAAATGTGTAGTTGTATTTAAAAGAAAAGTTTCGTTTAAATATTGCTTATTACTATTCATTAACAAACTAATAGTTCATGTATTATGAACTTCAGGCAACTGGATTGTAAATTAAGTACATGCTCGAAATAGAATTTCTACATGATTACATCAATGAAAAAAAAAGTCAGCAGGGCTTTCAGCAAAATAAACTTACTCATTTGTAAGAATGTCTAGTCGTCTTATGCTTTCCAATTAATATTATAATAGTATAGTTCTACATAAGAAATATTTCAGGTAATGATAATTTACCAATTAATACTTGATATTCAATACTAGTTTATGTATTTGTTATGAACGATCTGACAAGATAAGAATATAATCTTTATGTTTTTTTTGTATCTACGTATTGAGCATATTATGTATGATTAATAATCGATTGTGTTAGTATAATAAGCATATCAAGAACATCAACTCATACTCTTAAATAGATGATTGATAGTATAGTGAATCTGATTTAATTGATGCAACGGAAGTTTCTTTGTATTTCCAGTAGTATACAATAGGAGAAAAAGAAATCGAGGATGACAAGCTTATATATCTTTTCCAACACGCAATGAATAGAATAATTGAGAATGTGCTTTAATTATAAATAATATTATATGTAGTCGTTATTCGAACTTATAAATATAATAATGTTCATTACTCATATATATATTTTTTTATAAACTTAAGCATTTTGATCTTTTTCTTTTTAATTTAAAGAATAATATCTCACAGGATAAACACAATTGATAGTTAGATATACGTGATGAAAATGAATTTTCAAGAATTTCTTCAACTTATATATTTATAGATCTATATATCATTATTCAGGAACTTCATTAATTTTTCATATTACAAATCTAGATATCTATCTCTAAATATAGTATTTTTCAATTAAGATTTGTCTACAGTAACTATCATCAATTTTAAATATTCTATAGAATGTATATTTTTACTTTTAGATGGATTACTTTTAAATATTCCATTCAATAATTGTCATTACAAAAAGCCAAGAGGCTTTTCATATACTTAACTTTCTTAATTCAAGTTTCTTTTCCTGTTATATACTCATTCATATTATTCCTATTCTAGTATAGTTTCAGTTACTCGTCAATTTATAATCACTTGTATGACTAATAATGTCAATCAGTCTTTTGTAATGATAAAAATCCGAAAAAAAAACAAAATATTCTCAGGTAATCTATATTTAATAGAGAATCTAACATGTAGCAAGTTTATAAAATGTGTCATTTTTCTATTTGTTTTTCTTTCCGATTGCTATAGTATTTTCTTTTCATTAAGGATCAAGGTATTTTATTATCATCCAGGAATGAATGATTACATTTAAACCTATGAAAAGAAAGGGAAAAAAAAGATGGATGAACAAAAACATTAATTAAGCTTATCCTTCTTTTTTTATTTGCTAGAGAAGTGTTATTATCTTTTCTTTCTAAACCAGATACAAATGAAAGATAATATGATTCATACAAAAAAAACATTTTTTTTCTCTTATTTAAATCCATAGAACAAACCTTCTAATTATTTATCATAAGTCATCGTGCATTTATTATATAGAAATTGAAAGAAAGAAAAAAGAAAAAAGAAAAAAAGAAGGAAAATCATTTTTATTCAGTTATGATATATAAAGTTTGTTTTGCTTTCTATTCAATATATAATACTTTAAAAACAATACCTTTGTTTCTTATGAGAAAGATATTATTTTAAAATAAAAAATAGTCTCTTGTGAGTAATTGATGATAATGTGACAATGGAAAAAAAAATATTTTTGCACTTTATTTTCTCTTTAAATCATTGTAATTAGGTTTATTTATTTAGATTTAATTATTCTTGTTTTTTCTTCTATACAAAAACAATGTTAAATATTATAAATTCATCATCATCATCGTTATTATCAGATGTGCGTCATATATTTATTGTAAGTATTTTCAAGATGTTTTTCACTTAATTTTTAATGATAATGATGATAATGATGATGAGAAAAAAGGAGAAAAAAAAAATAAAACATTCATTTGAATCAAAAGAACGTTTAGTATAACAGCGCCATAAAATATTTTGATAAGCTTATTTATTGAGCTAACAGATGTTAGTTATTTTGTTTCTTTAAGTTGACCCTCTTCCAATCTCTCATAAAATGTTTATTTAGAAAACGATATATATTTAAGCAACAAGGTAAATGAGGTTTTTTTCGTATATATATATATATATATCCGTAATAAAAAGAGAAAAAAAATGTAGAACACTTTGTTTGACGCATTCAAGTGACATTGTATTAGTTGTATTAATATTACGAAAATAATTAAATACAATATAGCAAAAAAAAGTTCCGGCAAGGGAATGAGCGAAAGGCGATAAAGAAGAAATATAAAGAGTGATGGGAATCGAGGAATTCATCGGCTTTCATATTATCAGTTGTCAAAATGACGAATAGAATAAGATGGAGAAAAAGCCGTCTTCAATCAATGTTCGATCGTGCAGAGATAATATGAAAGTGTCTTTCTTCATTGATTTATACTTTGTTTATCTTTTCTTTTCATTTATATATATAAATACATAGATTTCGTATTTTAAGGAAAACAACACTTCATCATCAGCTTCTATATGGATTATTAATGAACGAAATTCAACACCATTAAATATCGATACTCATCAATCGTCTGTTCGAATTATGTGGTATCGTTTTCTACTAGTTATTGGTAAGTATTATTTATTAATATTACTTTTATCTTGAATTTATCAACAACATATATAAAACAAAGTATAAATCGAAATCGATAAAGTTTTTATGCACGTATAATCTTATTAACAAATGATAAGCTTATATGATTTTATATCCAGGACATACTTTAGTTTGATCGGAAATACATTTAACAAAACGTGACATTAATAACAAAAAAAAAACTATATTGTTTTATTCTTTTATTCTAGTCATCTTTATCACTGCCGCTGGCAATTTATTAGTTTGTCTAGCCATAGCACGTGAACGAAAATTACAAAATACAACAAATTATTTTCTTATGTCATTAGCAATTGCAGATTGTCTTGTTGCTATTCTAGTCATGCCTATAGGAATGATATCTGAAGTCTTAGGTTATTTTCCATTACCACATTATGCATGTATTGCATTTACAACAATTGATGTTTTATGTTGTACATCATCTATATGGCATATGAGTACAATGTCAATGGATCGATATTTTACAATACGTTTTCCATTTCGTTATGGAAGAAATAAAACTCGTCGTATTATGTTACTTAAAATAATTGCTGTATGGGCTATAAGTGCTGCTGTATCATCACCTATATTTGTATTAGGTATTGTTGATAAAACAAATGTTTTATCAGACGGTATATGTGCACCAACAAACCCATCATTTAAAATTTATGGTTCTATATTTGCATTCTATATTCCGTTTATAATCATGATTACAACATATGCATTAACAATGCGTTCATTAAGAAATGTTTTAGTTAATAAAAAAAAATATGATCGTGAAAGACGACGAAAACAAACATTTCGTCCATTAGCACAAATTATAAATCAATATGCTGAAATTGCTCAAGGTATTCGACGTACATCATCAACAAAAAAACAAACTGTACCAACAATAACAACAACAATAACAAATACGAATAATCATATGAATTCAATTTTAAATAAAACACCATATACAATTATAACAACAATATCACCAACAGATTCACGTGCACAATTTTTTTCTGTAAATAATACAAATGGAAATTTACAACAAGATAATAATTTAATAAATTTAACAAATGGAATTAATCTCAATAATGAACTAATTCATCATCATTCACAACATTTAACTATTAATTATATCAAACCAAGTGGAAGTAAAAAAAGACGTCATCAACAACAACAACAACAACAACAAGCATTAACAATTAATGCAGCTATAAATCGAACGAAAAATAATGGTGATATGAGTACTGTTTATGAAATAACAGAAAATTCAAAATCAATATCAAGTTCATGTGATGTATCAGCTATTGTGGGAAATAATACTAAACGAAGATCAATTGTTAGTAATGAATTACAATTAATTGAACAAACAGAATTATCACAAAATTCTAATTTAATAACAACAGATATTAATGATATTGTTCCACTTGAAGAAGAAGAAGTTAGTTTTGTATCAGATTTAGATGATGCAGGTAAGTTCATAAAGTACTAAAAGTCTAGAGAATATTTTATTGCGTAGTAAATATTAGATTTTCTAAGAACATTCTTACACAAGTATAAGTACTTCATAAAAATAATATTTAATGTTAATAAAGTCATGAATCCGTTTTTATTTCTTAATAATGTTAATTTCTTATCAATAGTCTGTTGAAAATATATATACTACGCCTACATATTTCATGTTCTCGTTAATTAACAAAAAATTATTTTTCACCTTTCCCTTTTGAATCAATATATAATTTATAACAATGATGTAGAACTTTTATTAATAAATATTTCTTTTTCAAATTATAGTTAATCTACATGACACTTTTTACGTGCAAATAGCTTCTTCATCATCTCAACATTCTTCTTTGTCTTATTCAAATGAATCAATACTTTTGACAATACCGTGGAAATTTTGTACTTATATTATTCATTGTATTCTTCAATATTATATATTCTATTTTCCCTATCGATTAAAACCTCTATCAATTGAGTATATATCAAATATAAATGAAAAATTATTAAAATTTCATCAATCAACATCAACATCATCAATACATGCGAAATCAATTAAAAATCATCAATCAGTTTCAACACAAACAAATTCTTTTACATCAGTAGATATTCCTAATGATCATGCAACTAATATTTATGAAAATTGTATATATAATTCATCTAAACGTCGAAAATTTTTATTTAATCGACAAATATTATCATCATCTTCTTTAATAACAAATTTTTTTCGTCATTCACCAACAATACAATTACGTGCAAGTGATAGTTCAATAAAATCAACATTATCATATGATCCACGTTCATCTGTAGCTTCATCATCAAATCAACAACGTCAACATTATTCATCTAGTATTTGTTATCAAACAGAATCAGAAAGGAAACCAATGTTAACTGCTGAACGTCGTTCACGTACATCATCATCATCATCTTGTCTTTTACATACATCATATCGACAACAAAATCATACGTCTACACATTTTCATAAACCATTACGACGACATCATTATCAATCTCAATCTGCATATGCTATTGCAAATCCTCCAAAATTATTACAACAATTAAGTTCAGCAACAAATACAAATTCATCAGATTCTTCATCAATTATGCATCGTTATCATTCAAAATTATTATCAACTGTTTCTCATAATAATCATCATTATCATCATCGTGTACGTGTTGAAGATTTTGTTGCTGCTAATGAACGAAAAGCTTTAAGAGTATTAATGATTATATTTTGTGTATTTATTACGTTATGGACACCATTTTTTATTTGTACATTTATATCAGCTGTATGTGAACAATGTCGTGAACGTTTATCGTCCAATGTTTGGTTTTCAATAACATGGCTTGGTTATAGTTCATCTATGGCTAATCCATTTATTTATACAATATTTAGTGATGTATTTCGACGTGCATTTATAAATATTATTTTTTGTCGTTCAAATGATCTATTACTTTCAAGACAATTATCAACTAAATCATCTTATCCAAGAGGTAGTGCTCATCTATATAGAAATGAACGTTTATCAAATAGACGAAATTTAAATCATGATGTTTCCGGTACATCAACACCAATACCATTGCATTATCCAGCACCACCAGTTGGTGTTAGTGATGCAATAATTTATATGAATCGATGTACTTCAGATGCATGTCGGTAATTATAAATAACTAGTCATATCTGTAACAACTTTCTGTTTATTGTTGTTTTTCCTTTTGTTAAAATTATATTCATGTCAATCCTTTATTATATTTAATTAATTAAGAAAATTAAATAAAATCTAAAATGATTGAAATTCATCATTTGATGCATCAAACAGTCATGTTTTCAAAAAATAGAGTAAAGAAAGAAAAAAATATGTTGATATAACATACACGTGCATTCTTTTACTATTTTTGTTGTCGACGTGGCAATGACACAAGCTTGACTTAATAATTTTATATCTACACTTATATTTCATCTAATGTGTCACCAAAAGATCTTATAAGACAGAAAACTTTAATAGTAAAATATTTTAAAAGTGTAACTAACGTAGAATAGAAATAAGAGCAAGCAGGCTTCTTTCTTTATTGATTTATTTCATTTTCATCTACTTTTCAATTTAGTTGATTTTTAAATTAATTTACTTGCGAACAAATGTTTTCCTGGTTTCAACAAAATACTCCGATTGTTGTTAATGAAAAGCAACGATTGCTTGGTTCAGCTGAAAATGCTCTAATGCAGGCCTCGCAACAATGTCAAGGATATATGAAATTCGGTGAAGTCTTGCATATTCAAGGACCTCATATTTCTTTGAATACATTGTCTACGGCAATCAATCATTTACAACGTCGTCATCCTGTTCTACGAAGTCGTCTTCAGATTAATCTTGAAAAATCAGATACTTATATACTTGAAGAAGATGATACAGTTCAACTTAAAATCCGAGAAATATCACGAAAGCGTGTTGATCATCAGATATTTTGGCGTCAAGAATGGCGAGAGCGAGAAAGAGATATAACTGCCATTGGTCAAGGACTTGCTGAATTTTGGTTACTACAGGTACATATGATTAGTTGTCTGCTCTACATACTTTATTTTGCTTTGTAGGATCCAGAAGATGATAATGACAATAACAGTCCACGAGAAATTGTAGTAATCTGTGAACACGGTGTATGCGATGGTTTATCTCTAAGTAATGTAGCACATGAACTCCTTATTGCATTAGCTGGTGAAAATGATAGTATATTTCAAAAATCTTTGAATTGGCCAATAACTATGGAAACAGCAATTCAACAGAGTCTCTCGTTCATAAGTAGAGTAACAACGCTTGGCAGATTCATTTTTGCAGCCATATATTCACGTACAACGAATAAATTACCAATTGCAAGAATACCATTAGCTAATGTCGATTTTCCATTAGCTGATATAATTAATTATAGCCATACTGAAGCTTGTTACGGCGTGTTCAATAAAGAAGAAACACAAAAACTAGCAGAAAAGTGTCGTCGACAAGGCGTAACCGTCACATCTGCAGTTGGTGCTGCCATGCTATGTGCTGTATCTACAGTAGTAAAACCGAAAGAAGAGAATCGATCAACGGCATTGCATTTTGCTTTAGGAGCTGATACGCGTAGAAGATGCATACCACCAATTCCAAATCATGATCTTACTTACCATGTATCAGGTATGATGTCATTCGTAATGCCGACAGAAGATATACCAACAACTCCTGAAGGTATATGGGATCTTGCAAAAATATTTGGATCTCATACAAAATCGTGTATTGATGCTGGTCAAATCCTTGCTCTTGGTATGATTATGGGGAAAATCTTCCAGAAAACACTAGGTCCACCGAACATTGATGAACTTCCAACTTGTGGTGTCTCTAGCTGGGGTATTCTACCGTTTCGTGAACAATATGGACGTTGGCAACTTGAAGCAATGACTCCATTCGTAAATATGAATCGAACAGTTATGCCATTTACTACAATTCAAACTGTTAATGGCATATTAACATTTATGTTTGTTGGCACTGATCCTATCATTCCTATAAGTATTTTGGAAACTTTGCGCGATGGTACAATGCAAAAATTACATCAAATGATTGATGATTAATATAGTACTAGTCATCTTTTTTTTCTAATTATTTTTATGTATTTTTTATTATTATCACTAATATACTTAGGGTATCAAGAGTCAGTATTAACAATTGAATAAAGATGAAGCGAAACAAATAATTGGAACTTTTTTCAAATAGTTATGGACATTTTTCCCTATCATTTGATTTACAAACTAATATAATAAAGAAATGGTTTACAGAATACATTTTATCTTAAATTGTTACAAATATACTAACAAGGGAACATATTTGAGTGTACCCACGGAGATGGAGTTTAAAAGTATTTTATCGTGTAGTGACCATGTTGAATATCTCAAATATCGACAGTTTAGCTGCCCGTTCCGAGGTCGAAAAAATAGCACGATTTCACATTTTTACCATATGTTATATCTTATTGTCTGATATCACGTGTTAACGAGT